AATCAGAAAAATGGTGGGAAGAAATTATTTTTTCCATCTTCAAACCTTCAGCTGGGAAGACTGGGACCGGTCTCTCTCTCTCTCTCTTTTTTTTTTTTTTTTTTTTTTCCCTCCCCTCTTTTCTGTTGGGTCTCTGCAAGCTGTAGACTCCTTTCACTTCTGAGCTGTGGTGCTCAGGAGTGGCTCCTAATGCCTGCGGCTGGGACTCAGCCCAAGCGTGACTCAGGCCGGCCATCTACTCTGCTAGCTAGATTCTTAGAAGGCCCATGGTCTCAGCTTCTGAAACCTGGGATCAAAAGTTGAAGATCAGGTCTAAATAATACCTGATAAGGTCTAATACAGTTACAGATTTGTGCTTTGCACATTTTTTTTTTCTGCTGCTTCTCTAAAATTTTGTGAGTATGATGGAAGTGTAGTTCACCAGCATCTGGAATGAAACTGTAAGGTATTTTTTCAGGAGGAGTCTCAATTTATCTTCCCAGTGCCTTGATAACTCGGAAATCTCATGTTAGTATTAACAGCTGATAATTTCTGGGTCATCTTTTAAACACCAATATTGACTTGCTATGCTTGATTCAATATTTAAAGAGCCTGTTACTCTTTTCTAGCCACTCAGAAAATCCCAGGAGTCCCCAAACAGCCATTGAATCTTTCAGTGCCAGTTCTAGGAATCCTCTAAGGCAGAAGCTGAACTGTACTGCGTAAAGTTAACTAATTTAACTTTTTTTTTAATGATTTTTTGTGTTGCTGTATGAAAATTTTCAGATACCAAGGTCAAAGTGCATTTTACTGTACACTGGCAAAGCAGAATTGCTTTTTAGTTCTGATTGCCTTTTATTGGTGCAGTCTGGTGTAATGAGAACAGCAGTTGCCCAAGAATTTTTAGAAGATACTTTATGAGTACATCTGCTTATTATTTATTATTTTAATAGAATGATGATAAAAATCCTTTATCTAATCTTTCTCCACTGCTTTAAGATAATTTAAAGTTATGTCTTATTCCTCTCTCTCCCCAAAAAACTTACTACATAAAGCAGTAAGAAGTAATTTTGAGCTGTTTCTGTATGTAGAATACATCAAGTGTCATAATCAAACTTATTTTTATGAAGCTTCAGTCTTGAGTATGATTTTGAAATGTCAAATTAGCATATGACCTTTACTTGTACTTTTAAACTTTTATAAAGAAAAAAGAATTAGAGCAGCAAGATATGTTTTTTGGAATAGTGATTGCTAGGTGTGAACTCCTGTGGAAACAGGAAAGTTTCTTTTGAAAGATTAAATGTTATTAGAAAGTGAAGTATTAGTCTGAGCTGGTCTTATTTCTGTAATGTTGAGCTCAGATGTCAGAAGCAGTAAAGAGTTGACTGAAAACTGTTTTCCAAACTATTTAGGCAAGTAGAAAATAATGAGGGAATGCTCAGTATGATGGAAATATTCTTACAGAGAGATCTGTGTTACCCTAGTTCAATCAAAAATGCTATTTACAGCTAAAAAAAGGCAGTATGAGTACTCCAAGTGAAAAGATGGTCGCCTGAGAAGAGCACAAATGCTACCGTGCCAGTGGATCTGCTGCCAAAGGAGCTGACGTGCTGTCTGAGTGGTGTTCCTGACTAGAAACCAAAGAGCTGCTCTCATAATGCGTGTGATGTGAAAGCTGGCCTGGAGGCTGCGTGATAGATCTCTCCTAACTGAGTATTTCTTGAAAACCCTGAGATTGAACGTGTGGTAAGTAACCAGCAGTGCAGCTGCGAAGATGGCAGGGTTCGCGTGGCCCTGGCCACACCAGGAAGCATGTAAATAGCTGGCAGATGAATCGTTCCCTTGGTCTGCCCAGGGTAGCTCTGATTCCTCTTAGCATCACTAACACGCTACAAAGGTAGCTCTAAGTAGGCTGAGACATTGATCATAAGGGTCACTTTGCTGGGCTTACAGCTTTGAGGCTGAGACTACCATGTGGACTGTCTAGGGAACAAGGACTTTTGAACTTGCAGGCTTGCTCTGTTGGGACAGGAAGACAAAAGCTACGAGTTTTCCAGAATTCCTGCCTTGAAAGTGCTCTGGCTCCCATGCTGCAGGTAGCCCTCCTCAGAGGCGGCTTTTAGGTTTTAAGGCACCTCTTCAATCCTTGAAAAAGGCAGTGTGGAATTCATAGATGATCCTGGGGTCTTAGCACTGAATCCCAACTTTGTTTTCTTAAGAAATGTGGCATTGCATTTGTTGTGTTTTCACTGTGATAAGGAAATTTAAAATTTTGCAGCTCATTTCAGAATATTTACTTACAAGTTTGCTGTTTGCTGCAGACAAAATGAAATAAAAATGTGACTTTCCCTCAACCCTAGTATTGCTAGTGCTCTCTGCTCCTTTCTCCTTTTCCATCTTCAGTGTCTCAGCTGCTTGGCTTCAATCAAGCATCCATTTACACATCAGTCACTGTTTTGTTAAATCAAAGTCTCATAATTTTTCTTGGAATTTTCTCAAGATTTCATGTAGATGTGAAAGGGTGCAGTTGGGGAAAACCCCATGCATCATTTTATTTATATATTTCTCTGCATGGATATGGACTAGAATAATTTTTTTAAGTTTATTTATTGAAGGATAGACTCTTTCCAATGTTCAAAGGATAGATCGTCCATGACTCTAAAAAGCTTCTTTTCAGAATACCCAGTTTTGTTAGAGGATTGATCCTGCGCGAAGGATAATTCATGGCAAGTTAAGTATGTGCGTTTATTTGGAGGCTCAGTGTCCTAGAGTGGGAATTCCTCTGGGCTCAGGCTCTTAAACTGCAGCTTTGCATGTGTTTTTCCAGCAGCAGTGTTGGATGAAGCTGCTTTTGCACCTTGATCCAGCTATTTTTCTAATGCTATGTGTTTGATAACAAAGCAAAGTGGTTTGATGACACTACATGAAATGATGACCCTACCTCTGAGTATAGGCTGCATTTTTTCAGATCAGCCAGGGAGAGAGTATACATGTTTAAACACTACTAAACACTACCAATAAAAATGCTATGAAGGCAAAGTAAGGTTTTGTTATTTTTCTTTTTTCTTTTTTTTTTTTTTTGCCTGCAGTTTTTCAGTGTGTCTTCTTTTGTTCCCCTCTGCGAGCTAAAATAAGTTAAAATAAAACAACAGTATTGATCATCATTAGCACTAATATCGGCCACTTTCATTCTTTTTTTTTTTCTTTTCTTTTCTTTTCTTTTCTAACCAAATTCCCCGCTGATGAGAGGAAGTGCAGACATCCTCATTTTCCTTGTAATATTACCTTTATTTTCCTCAGATTAAACCACATAGAACTCACAGTTCAGAAAGATGTAATCCCAGGACTGGTGGGATATTCTTCACCTTTCGTGCAAAAGAATGTCTTATATCCCTCCTTCCCTCCTTTCCTCCCACCTCCCTCTCTTTCTCCCTTCCTCCCAAGCATTTAAAGAAAAATAATGCGGAAGGGACATAAAAGGGAAATAAACAAAATAGAAGCCAGTGCCCTCAATACGGCAGAATTATGAAGGGAGAATTGTGCAATTTCATATTCTGGTTTACACCTAGAATCACTCTACTGCGAGTGCCTTCCTAAGCCACCATTGTTGTCTGGCTCCGAAAGGAATTCAGGCTTCTGCAGTCTCTGAAGATTCATCTTTGAGCCTACGTAGGAGATGGCAGTGTAGCTCCTGTGCCTGCCTCGTCAGCAGAGTGGCTGTTACATAATACTGGTTAAAGATCAATTTCAGAGCGTTCAAACTCAAATTCTGGTTTGATTTCTGGTCTTTTTCTTCCATATCTTGCTTTGTTTTTTAAAAAGGTATATTTTATGTAATGAAAGATCCATATAATCAATGGCTTTATACATGTGGATAGCAAAATAAAAGTCACAAAGATGAAAATGATCGACATACTTTTATCATATGTATAAAGCAAGCAGAATTTATTACATAAAAGTTTAAAAATCCTGTTCACAATTTAATAGGCTAAAAATATCAGCAGTGTGGGTCATGATTTAAAAGAATTAATAACTGAAATTCATAACTTTTTTTGCTATTTTATTTATATGCTATTATATGCTATTTTATTTATATGTTATTATATATAACATAGTTATATTCTATTAATTCAGGAGGTAGTTTATTGAAAATATTTTTGTGACACTTGTTGCCCTGCAGGTGTTCCGTGTATCATTTCAGCTCTGTGACCTTCGTATTCTTCATTACTTTGTGCACTCCAAAAGTTAGGCAGAGTTCAGAGA